AGTCCAGTGTAATTACTGCAGGGTTGAAAAACGAGTTCTGTGAGTTACGGTACATCATTGTTTTTCTTTTTTCTTTCTTTTTTTTTTTTTTTTTTTTTTTTTTTTTTTTTTTTTTTTTTTTTTTAATGTTACAAAGAACAATGTGCCTTTCATTTCCTGCAGTGCTGTTAAGGTACTTGCAGCTCAAAGCAGCAAGAATACATTAAAACTAAAAAGCATTTGGTTTTGGCATTAAACATTTTTATTTTTTAGATAAATGCCTCTCCCTCTACAGAAATTGTTTGAGCAATGAATTTGGCACACATTTGTAATCAGCTGTAATAATGAATGCCGTCTTGCTCACTTGAAATGGGAGAATTTACCAACTTCTTTAAAAAGAATTTCCTAATCTACAATTAAAGTGCTACCAACTTTGAGTTATCAAATCACAATACCACATGCTCGAGAGACATCAGTTGTCTGTAGAAAATGACACAGCGTTCTTCTGCTTTACACAGCACACTGTGCGTGTACCTTTATGCTGCAGTTATTAATTCTCCAGTACTACCACATCAAACACAAACATCTCCTGGTGGATGTCTGACATCCATTTACTGACAGCAGTAACACAGCGCTGTACCACAATTATTAACTGGTTTGTGCTACACCCTCTTTGCCTTTCTCCAGAGTTAAACTCCTGATGGAGCAGGGCAGGATTTGACTTTTAATATTCAGTGAATCTCTGAAAGCTAGAATCACAAATATCCCCACTTTGCAGACAAAAAGACTGAAAAGTTTTCCTACAAAAGTTTAAAATAATCCTACTTACAAAAAGAAAATCTATCCGATAGCCGTTTCCACGACTGAAAGAGAGAATAAAAGCCCTAGAGAGAGTCCACGGCAGTGCTGAGCTGGGAATTCAGTTGTTCCTGATCCCCAGGCATGCAGTCACTTCACTACACCAGACTAGCCATTTTGTCATCCTCAGTTCACTGAAAACTAGTTTGTTTATAAAATACAACACCGAACCAGTGCATTAAACAAGCTTTTAAAATCAATAATCTTTTTTTTTTTTTGATTGGGTGAATTGCAAAATCACTTTGCGGTGCCAACTGAAATGAAGCTTTTACATACCATTAGGCAACTACAAAAGTGGGGAATTTTCCACACGGGTGTTCCACCCAGCTGGTCAGAAAAAAAACCCCTCATTTGAGCGAAATATCAGGACATCGGAACATGCTCCTGCCTTTCAAATGAGGTTGCTGGTCTCTTTCATCATCCCTCCTGCAAATTTGCTCACCCACATAACAAACAAACAGACAAATTCTGGGTTTTCTTCCTCTCCCCGAGCAGCAAGTTCCCATGCTAACAGACCTGAGAGACAGCAGCACCACGCACACCATTCAGTTACACGTTAGCTTTACCCCTGGTTCCAGGACAAGACATCTGGACCTTGGACCATGCATGCACGAATGAGCCCTGTCTCGCCTGCATGTTTGCTTTTCATGACTATCATGCTGTATCTCTCTCTCTCTAGAAAAAAATTAAATGCTTAATTTTCTGTAAATTTTTGCAGTAGTGATCATGTGAGCGGCTGCCTCAAAACTATTCTGGCTTAACGAAGGCTGGAGAAAAGGCTAGAGTTGGTGTTAAAAGCCACCAAGAGCAGAAGATGTCACCATCTTCTCTGTCTGTGATGATTCTGCTCCAGAAAATGCAACTGTAAAGCCCACTTGCAAATAGGAGTGGCTCTAAAAGAGAAAATCTTTTTTTTTCCCTTGAAATTCACTTTAATGAAGGTTAGACATACAGGCTTTCCAAAATAACACATACAACTCAGAATGATAAATTAAAATCTGTAGTAGGAGCCCTTCTTTTTCAGGGTTGTATAGTTGACCCTTTTGAACCTACATTACTCAAGGTATGCAAAATATATGTGTATAATAAATAGCTCTAGAATTTATGGAGTGGAACAGAAAGGATATTAACAGGCAAGTAGAGAGGCTGTATAACCCTCACAAGGCCTTTAAAGATTTATTTTTTTTAAATGAAGGAATGCATGCATGTAAAAGGTAGTACTTAATCGATACACTTCTTTGTGCCTTCCAGAAACACATACAAAATGATTCCAAGTCTGCCCTCAATCTGGTCATTCCGCTGTTACCGTCAGTGGGAATAAGATTATTCACAAGACTATTTATTTTTTTTTTTTTATTTAAAAAATAAATTCCTCTCTGTGTGGGCTCATTCCCACTCTTCAGTAAAATCAATTACGAGACTCCCATCGACTCCGGAGGGATTTGGATCAGGCCCTGTGGAAGTGGGTCTACAGCAAGTGTAGAACAACGCAGTTAATATGATTTATTGTGTCCGTTTCTGTGCGTGCAGTTTTTCATTTTCTAAAGCCTGCAGTTTTGCTTTCATCCTCACGTTCAGTAGATAAGAGCTGCGGATCTGTGTTGATCTACACACTGGGTACACTGCGAGCTGGGGGCTGTGTGCGCTGAGAATGAGCTCAGCGTCTGCCCAGGGGGAGCAACCCCTTTAGGGCCAACAGACTGCCTTAGATGCATTTGTAAAGTAAATCTCCCACACAGGCACTGCTAAAGGTGCCTAATCAGTTAGGAGGCTTCTGCTGTGGTGGGGAAAAATACCCTTTAGTAAAACTGAGAAAAAGAAAAATCCTTTTCCCGTTTATTAACCAAAAAAAAAAAAAAAAAAAAAAAAAAAAAAAAAAAGTACCTTTTGCAGGTCACCAGTAAAGTTCCAAGAATTCACTAAAAGCTTGTTTTACAAGGAAGAGTCAGGCTCCAAATCAGAGATATTTCATTTCACTAGGCTCTTAGAGATTTTACATTATTAAACACTGACATTGCTGTTTTTCGGGGCAGTTGTTGAGTAAGAGGCTTCCTTAAGACTAAGAAACTGCAGGGTAAGAAGAACTGTGGTTTAATAGCTGCGAAAGAGTATTATCTAAACAAGAAATAATAACATGCTTGGTGCCTAATACATTCTAAATTAAAATGTGATTTAATAAACATAGGCAACATATTCCCCACAAAAAGAATAGCAGAATTGGCAGAACAAAAATCACAGTTTAGTCAGTTCTTCTCTTAACCTCGCAATCCTTTGGCTACAAATTAGAATTTCTGTGAACAGGATTGATAAGGGAAATTAGGCACTGTCTTTCAGAAACAACAGAAATGTTTTAAGATGGTATGTTTAGAGATGAGCAGCACAAAATCTATCAAAATATGAAACCTTTCATATTTCAATGGGAGGAAAATACAGGAACTCCGAAAGCCAAAATCTTACCAGCCCAATGAGCCCTACATTCTATGTCCTATGATATATGCTGGTATTTTGAAGTTTTTTTGTGTACCTAAACCTTTCCTTCTTCCCTTAATTCTATCTGCCATTTATACCCGGGTACAAATGCAGTCTAGATGTGAATGCAGCCCTTCAACATCGCTCCCACTTTGCAGCTTGTTTGGTCCTAATAAAGTCCTCAAAATACACACTGAACACATACAAAACTGGAGGGGTTTGAGGCAGAAGCAGTTGCTCTGTGAAAGGGTAATCACGGTTGTATTATTATAGATACAGTATTTCTACATGAGATGGGTTTACATATCCCAAAACTGGTGACAGGTTTTAGAGACATAAACCCTTCACGCAAGTTCTTTTCCACGTATGCACAGTAGACCCCAGTACAGCAGATCCCCCACCTACATTTAGGTCTTATGAAAACGAT